ATTCAGGCAAAGTTTCCAACATTTCTTCTGTGCATTGTTGAATGAAAGCTCCAACATTTTTGATGGGATTTAAATCTGGGGGAGTTCCCAATCCACATTCCACCACTTTTTCATGGACCATTCTTTCAAATTCAACAATTCTGAAACTTTTGAGACATTAATCGGATTTTTCAAATTTGGCATTGCTATGTGTTGATTGGAAGACTTGAATTCTCGGAGCATGTCTGCGACTAGTTCCTAAGCCATCCCAAAGGCAGCACATACGACACGAATCTGAGTTCTAGTGAGCACCATGATTCAAAAGTTTTCGCAAAAAATGAAATTCGTAGAGTGAAACAACCAAGAGTTCGTGAAATGACGTTTTCTCACGAATGATGATATTCACGGTTCTACCAAGTTCGTCATTACTTCAGGGAAAAGGTGTGATTTATTTTGCAACACCCCTTATGTGTTGCATAGTTTTATTTTAATCATTTTGAAATATTTATTTCCTTTTCAGACAATGTACATATCTTACAATCTATGATGCTCATGAAAGCTCTTTCTGAAAAAGGCGTGCTTTTCCAAACTCAGGTAAGATGACCTTTGACACACAGTTATTCTGTCTTCTTTTATTTTAGAATCAAAGAATGAAAACTCTTAGTGCTTTACATTTCTTAACTTTTAGGTAATTTAAGTACTTTGAATTTATTCAATTAAATTCTGAATATTTATAAGTACATTAATCATAATATGTATTTACTTTAATCATATGTAAATGTTATATACAATAGTATTCTTTATGCTTGTAGGAAACTTAATTTATCAAACAAATCGTGTAGACTTTACCTATTTTAAGCTTTGATATTGCTCATTTCTTTACATTTTCAGGTGTATGTAGATGAGAATCACTTTCTTCCCCATGTTAAGCTACATCTGTATAGAACTATGGAAGCTTTCCTTGATCGCTGTTTTAACCTGAGCTCCACAGAGGAAATAGGTCTTCAGAAAACTGATAAGAAAGGAAGATAATTCAATTACATCTTAATATTCAATATCTTTAAGCATTCAAACCCTACTAGAGAAAAAATCCATCTCAGATTATCTTGTATCTTTTCTTAAGTGATCTTGGAAATTTGCACAATCAAATGTTTCCCTCTTCTCATCTTTTAAGACCAGAAATTTTTCAAGTAATATAGATCTTAGACTAATCTTTTACTTTATTACACTACAGTATAGGAAAATCTTGAAATCTAAAAGTGTGCCAAATTATATTAATTGATTCCACTTAGTAAATTAGTAATCAACAGAAACTGAAGAAAGACACTAGAAGCTCATCCAGGATCGAGGGATACAACTTCATGTTTTACCATTCCCTTGGTAACAAGTCATATCCTCATCTCTTTGTTTCATCACTACATAATATGTAAATACTTAAACAAATCACTTAATATATAAGTCATTGTTTGTTTTTCAGCCATCAGTTATGATATATATATATATATATCTTTTGTTAATTAAAAAGTTTTTGTTTCTACTTTGTAACAGTGTTGAACTGTTCATAACTTTTCTGTTGATATCCAAATATAAAGTTTAAATGACTGTATTATAGCTCTTTCAATTCACAATAATAATTGTTAATAGCTTCTGTTATGCTACAGTAATGTATTGAGTTTCTAATGAACATACATTCAAAAGAAAATTATGTTGCTTAGGATTTCAAAGAATTTTTAATACTTTTAAGCATTCTCCACAGTATTTATTAGTATTAGCTTGATGGTTTTTTAGTAAATTTATATATATTGTACTATAAAACAACTACATATTTAAAAGTTTAAGTTTCAGTTTTATAGATCTTTTTCAAGGTAACAGTAAAGAAATGACTAGTGTTCAACTATGCAATCTCTAATATGGTTGTAAGGTAAATAATTCTGCTCTCCACTTAGCTGTTTGATTGTAAGATATTCCTAATGATTTAGTACAAGTCTTTAATAAAATACATTTAGGATTAATCAGATCATATATATATATAATCTTAACTCCTGAACTTGACCAGTTTAGCTGTTCTAGCTGTAGTTTAGAAATTAGTGTTGTGTGACCTACTAAAGCCCAATTTTAATACAAATATCTGTTTTTGTCTTCAACTTACATTTTACCTTTTATCTCCATTCCAAAAAACACCTTTGCTATGTTTTAACATTATTCTCTAATAAAACTGGGACCTGTAACCCTCGAGCATAATTTTTATTTTAAAACCTCTAACTGTAAGCCTTGTGATTCTCTATAACAAATAAAACCACATTTTTTTTGTTGTTGTTCATAAGCTGCTGTCTATCAGTGGAACTCTTCAATGCAAATTGACAAATCATTGTGGTCAGAAGCTATCACTGCATGAAATAAGTATTAGAAAAGAGAATCGGAAACTAAATTTCTCACTGGAGTTATCCTGATCCATAGCTTTAATCCTTATAGCAGTGCATCTTATACAATTATTCAGAGAAGACACAAGGCTACAAGTGCCTAACATGTGTTACTAGATATTTAAAATAGTGTAGTTTTAAAATATCTGATAGTAATTTTGATTGTTATTGGATAATTTGTAGTGTACTTAATAGAATTTTACTTGTAGGAACTGCAGAGAGAGAGAGAGAGAAAAATTGCAATGAACTCTCTGACAAACTGTCTGATATTATTTTAGTTAGTAAATCGCACATCCAAAAATATATCAAAGCATCTGAATATCTGGTTCTTCTCTTTATGTTTCAATGAATGTTTTTTCTACTCATTTTGAAACTGAAATCAGTTTTTATATAGTTTCTGTCACATTATCATATGTTGTTTTTTATACACTTTTTGTGATGGAAATGCTGGTTGTGTGTAATGTTAATGTGAATTATAAACAAACAAGTACCAGTTGTATTGCAGTTTTGTATAGCAACAAACTTGTTCTTAATATTAATGCTAAAATTATCAGCCATAGCCTTGAGAATGTGTTTTATGTATGGGTATTGGCAAACATAAAGACATCTGTATGTCTACAAGGTGATAATAATCACCAATTTATGTCTTAACACAGTTACAGAAGTAAAGTAATGTAAATGAAGGAGATTTAAAATTGTGTTCTGAAAGTTAAAAAAAAATTCTTTTATATGGCTATTTTTGTTTAAGTAATTAATGGTTTTTAACTAAACACAAGACCTAGAAACTAAGTCAGTTAAATATTTTACCAATGTCAACAAGCAACAGTTGTATATAATGAAATATTTTATGAGTTAATTAAAATATCTGCCTTAAGAACATGATTCTGAATATAACACTTATAAATGTTGGATTCACTAATTTACTTATTGAAAATCAACAATTGATAAAAATTTGCATGATTAAAATTTTGTTTCCTACTCTATAGTGAACAGTGGGTTTATTGTATTTTTAAGTGCTTTTGTTATCAAATTGAAAAGAGTTAATTCGAATTTTAATTATCTATAATCTAATTGTAGATGACAAATAAGCAGTGGAAATAGTTCTTTGGATATTGTTATAACTATAGAGAGTATCGAGTTTTACAGAAAAGTATTAATACGTTACAGAAGGGCCAGCCTAAAGACAGAGCAACATGGGGAACTACTTGGGCTACCAAATTTTGTAATGGCAAAATTAAAAAAAAAATCGAAAAATACTCGTAACAATTGAAAAAAGTTTGAAATCTAAAGTTTAATATAAAACTCCTCAACACATAGTGAAGTAAACATACAGCCTGATTTATTTTTTTTATAAATCCTGAATTTTGTATTGGTAACTACACTTTTGTATGATATGCAGACAGTAAAAAACTTGATAACATACATCAGTACTTTAATCTGAAACAACTACTAGAAAAATGATGCCAGAATTATTACTGAATTTTCATCTTGGTGATTGTTGTTGTTGTTTAACCTTAGAAACGTTGCAGTGACATTGATAGACTGTTTATAAGTTGCGTACACAACTGAATACATTCTTAAGATGTGATAAATATAGATTGTGAAACAACCTTGGCATATACCTTGTGTTTACACACTGAGTGCGCTCTTTACTTCCCTAAATACTGGATGAGTATCATTGTATAAATTTATGAATAAGCCTTAATTGACCACTGAATTCTCTGTTCTCAATATGATACATGTTTTTGTTACATTATGCATCCTATTATAACAATAATGCAAATTATATTATGTGCACAACTTCCTTGTTCTAGTATCAAATCATTGCCACTTTAGTATTTGACTGACAGTAGACCAAGATAATATGTGATTGGCATTAATTTCAATCAGTAAGTATTTGTGCCATTCACTTATCAAGCATTTCATATAGCAATAATTTTGTCAATAAATACAACAGAAAACGAAATGGCTTCATAAAAGCTAGTGTAATCAAGTGGTGAGCCAATGTAAAAAGCCAAATGCTTTAGTAAACACCAGGTACACATAATATATTGAATTAAAATAAAAGGTTTTTAAACATCCCTAAGGACACTGATTTTTTTTTTGTCTTGCCCAAGGCAACATTTAGTCTAGGCTGGCCCTGTGTGACAGTATTACTTTGTTAATTTATCAAGCTGTAAAATGTTGTGTGTTGAGGAAGAAAGAAGACAAATCATTACTAGGCATCTATACAAGTTACTTAGAAATGCTTTTGACTTGTAAGCTATGAGAGTAAATATTATGGGAAAATCTGACCAAAATTTTGTGTTTGTTGCATCTTCTTAGATTGTTTTTAACCCAATGTGTATGTTGAACATTTTATGATGTTTTTACTAAAGGTTTCTATAAATATTCAGTTTCCTATATTCTTCAATTTCTAATCATATATTTGATATTTTAACACTTTTAGTTCATTTCTAATTGTAATAACTCTTGACTTGAAACCAGATTACTGCCATTTCTCACACTCACTAGCTTTAAAATCGTATCTAGAATTTTAATCTAACTATGTAAGATTAGTTAGAACACATTGGGTTATTTTAGTGACAGCCCACTAATCTTTCGGCCTCATCTTGTGGCGTTCTATTATACTCTTATATTTCAATCTAATCTCTGTTCACTTACTGTATACTTCCTCTTTCCATTAGTCATATCAAGTTTTTGGAGGTTTTCTGTAATATATGGTGATAACTGGGAAAGTGCAGCGATGGTGCAATAGTTTTACCTCAGTGTTCATTGGTCAAACTTGTTATTCAGAAAGTGAATGATTCAGAAACTTTGTGCCTATGTACATAATGGACTGATATGTTGTAGATATATTTACTCAAGTTGGTTTCATACTTTTGTGTTGAATTCAGTGGAAACAGAATGGTGTGAACTAGACCAGTTGGATTAAGGTGTTTGTACCAATTACTGTAAAAGTTGTGGAGGTGGTAGAAAGTAAACAATAATAAAAATTTTATGCCTAATTTGTTTGTGTTGTTTTGCAAATATGATTTTTTTTCGAATTGTTTTGAACTTAAATTGATTGTTTGTTTTTAAGTTAAGCACAAAGCTACACAATGGGCTATCTGTGCTCTGCCCACCACGAGTATCGAAACCCGGATTCTAGGGTTGTAAGTCTGCAGACATACCGCTGTGCTACTGGGGGGCGAACTTAAATAGAACTGGCACTGTTTTTTTTGTTTATTTAATTTTGCGCAAAGCTTACACGAGGGCTATCTGCTCTAGCCATCCCTAATTTAGTAGTAAAAGTCTAGAGGAAAGGAAGCTAGTCATCACCACCCACCGTCTACTCTTGGGCTACGGTTTTTACCAAAGAATAGTGGGATTGACCGTCACATTATAATGCCGCCACGGCTAAAAGGGCGAACATGTTTGGTGGGACGGGGATTCGAACGCGCGACCCTCAGATTGTGAGTCAAGCCCACTAACCATCTGGCCATGCCGGGCCAAACTGGCACTGTCAAGCTAAACGTGCTCAGTTAACATAGTAAACAAAAATAAGTAAATTATTGACTTAAAAAATCCCACCAACACTCTCATTTACATGCGAATAGTATTGTAAATCAAAAACGTAACATTATTTAATGAAAAAACAAAGGCTTAATCTTTGGTAATTTTATTGAAGAAAGTTTAAAATCATTGAATTTTAGCTATATTTGGCTGGAGGCTTCAACATTTTACCACATTAACTTAATGACATGAAAAATTAATTAATAGAAATCTTGTTGCTTTTATGGAAAATTTTAGCTATCACGAATGTTGCTTTTCTTCTACAAGAAAGGTAAACTTGAGGGTAAATTCTGTATTTTCCGAAGAAAAAAAAAGATACTAAAATATGTGTTTTAATCGAAAACTTCAATTCTATTAATTTTTCATTTCATTCCATAAAAAAAAAGAAATTAACTTAGCTCTGATTTTATGAAAACAAATATTACAGAGGGTTGAGTACCTTGTATTAAAACGATTTTAAATACGAAAATGAGCAAGTCTTGTAAAATCATGGTAAAGTGACATGTAGT